AAGTCGTTGCGTTGTCAACTCTTTAATCTCGCAAAGAAATCAAGGGGGTTTGGATAAGGCTGTACGCATTACAAAGCACCCACCACATTTGTAACGGGTGAATAATGATAATATATTCTCAACATCTCATGCATTGTTTCCCCAGTCCCAGCCTAATGGGGCCTAAGCCCACAGAATCCAGCAATGGGGTTCGCTCTTCATTCTTTGGCAGACCAATCCACGCTCAGTTGCCCAAGTATAAATAGCTTCAAGCGGCCTTTTTTTTCTTCGCAGATCCTTCATCGGAGTTTTTAACGGCTCCGAAAACCCCAGCAAGCGTCGACAAGCGTACAATATTGAGAAACACGCTGACACCAACGGAACCCCAGAGCATATCGTTCCACTTCAGAAGCCCGAGTTAGCAGCGTCATCAAATAACAGGGGCAAGGAACTCCTCCCCGTCACGGACGGAGAGGGAGAAATTTCGGGATGCTACTTGGCCCACATACCTCGGCGGGTTGCAGGAGCAGATCGAGGCCGACTCCGACGTAGCAAGCCCAGATGTGGCCGTAGTCGGCCAGCGCGACGGCGGCCAGGTACCACCGCGCGGTACGGGCGTGCGTGGTCCAGCTGCAAATGACGGCCATGGCCGCCAGGAGCAGATAGACGTTCACGAGCTGCAGGGTCAGGATCTGGGCCTGTTGTCGTATTTTGTAAGTTGATTACAATGGAGGAACTGGATATATACGGCGGGATGGGATGGGATGTGTGTGTGTCTTGAGGTGTGTAGGTAGGTAGGTAGGTAGGTAATGACTGACCTGCGGTGGGAATGACGATGGGCCGGCCGGCAGCTCATGGTTCTGCGCTTGGCGGGCGTAGAAGGTGAAGGGGTCCTGCAGCGTCGTGATGTATGCTATCATGCTGTTGTTCGTGAATCGTACCTAGCGTAAGCACATACTCACTCACACGCATACACACACACACTCTCTCTTTTTTTAATGGGGTTTATAAGAAGGGAGTATGTATGTATGTGTATTCCGGCGTTTTTTGGGGGGGTTTTCGGCTTCTTTCGGACGTATGGTTGTCGACCAAGCGCAACCTCACCAGGGACAAGAAATACGTAGAAGAATTGTAGGAAATAAAATAAATGAATGCAATACGTACAGGAGCACTGGTTCAACGATCCCGAAAATCACAAATGGGATTGCTGGTAAGCATGTGACGGCCATGGTTGGTTATTTGAGACAACGAATTAGGATGCTGATCAGAGATTTTGTCTTTGAAGTAGATGACTGAATGGTCTAGAGGCTAGACGTATGGAACTATCGGTGAGATATGAATGAAAGACTATCTACCGTGGCATGTACTACGGAGATATGAGTATAGAGAGGGGATTTGTTAGACGTGAGCTCCAACAAAGAGTAAGAGGTATCTACAGTAATCTAACCTTGATGAGTGAGCTGCTCACGTAAACATCTGGACCTGGTGTTTATAGGCATCGCGGTGTTGCTATATGGTTTAAATATATTGATACTGTGGTTACTGGGGTAAACATGCAACTATACGAGCTTACCGTCTCAACAAGTTATCAACGTTAAGTCCGCATCAGAGAGGTTGACAACATTGGATGGCGGAATAAACCAGAGATGTGTTGCTTCATTAATAAATATCCAAGTTACCTTAGAGGAAAAAGCCGCTCTACTGCGCGTTGTGCTATCTGGCCAGGTGCATCAGTCGTTTCATAATCATGAGATGATGCCTTCTACCTGATGATGGATCGAGAAGCTATGTATCACTACGGGAAACCATGAAGGATATTATTAGTAAGGTCATCTTCACTCATATGTAACTACGTAGACGTTACCATGTAACCATAAAAGCGACCTGCGTCAATTAGTAGCTGGATCCTCTGGCCTCATTCCTATTATCCAGGATTTAAATTCATAATGCTTCACAGTGGCCTGGTTCAATCCCTGGTTAGTGGAGGACGAAGAAGCCTCGATGATGACGACCGCCAGCAGATAATAGATCCTGTCGGTGTTATGTTTTTGGTTGATGCAGCTATGCCGGCCCCTCGATACAAGAAGCCATGTTCTCTGTAATAGCTCACCAATCCATACTCCTGGAAGGGGACACTTGTCCTTCCTATCACAAATACTCTCCGCGGGCTATGCAGTTCCCAGAGATGATGCTGAAGGTAAACTGTATGGTTTTCGCGCCCACAGGGCTTCTTACTCACACGGAGATAAATGAGACCACTGGCAACTTGGCCGCGAATCCTGTGCTATTGGTCATGAATTGTAGTGGCTATGGTGAAACGTCGCGTCCATGATGTCTTCAAGAAGCAATACTACTGCACATGTTTTTTCCGGCGCCAATGGCTGAGCAACAAGGAGCTTGGAATTCCCGAGAGGATTGGGACCACTGACTATATTTTGGCAGCGTTAGAAAGATAGGAGTTTAGTTGTGAAGATAAGGAAAACGACGTACGTGAATTACCACAAATATCAATATCACAAGAACCGTATGGCAGAAATAGGTCACGTCGATATGACTGGAATTCAGCACTATGTGAGCAAACTACGGTCTATACTAAGACGGGACCACTTAGGATTTAAGGGGTATTCTTAGGGGACTTGTCTCGGGCATACACACACGCCCACGAGGACTAGCTACAAGTAAAGGGGCTGGTGGCATATACCCCATCGGTTTTGCTATTACGTCGAGCAATGTCATGGCGTCTGCTAGTTGAAGCGGTTATAGCCCCCTGAGTCCCAGTTCGTCTTAATCTGGGCGGGTATGAATCGTCAGTATTCTCGCGCGCACGTCAGGTCCCTCGAGGTTGAGGCCAGGGGACTCGCTTCTTTGGGGAAACAGATATCTCCATGCCGGCTGCTCGCAAAGATTCTGATCACCTGGTAAGAGGAAGGCTTGCGGGAGGTCCCTTTTAACGGCTTGGACTTCCCTACTCCTCTTCCTGAATTCGTAGAGGCCACTCGTCAGCTAAGTTAGTTAGGGGGTATCTAAGACCCAAGTTATGAATTCGTAAAGAATAAACACTGTAAGTATTGGCCTCTCATCAGACTCTCCAACTATACAGGACTTTTTACTAGAGTTTCTGCGATCACGAGGCTTCTTGATTGTCCTCACGTCATCGGTACTCAATACCACTCTATACGTGTCAATGCTGCTATGACGCTAGTGCTTGGAGCAGACTATAAAAAATGCATATACATAGGTTGAGTCAACGGAGGTGTTTTAGGACCTCCAACACGATAAATGGATCGTCGACAACATAAATAGTCAACTTACCAAGTGTATCCCAAGAGAAAGGTAATAAGCTTTGGTGACCACTTCTTCGCTACTATAGGCCCTTGTGACCATGATTCCTATTACCTCGCTCGAATATCTGAATGGTAGGCTATGGGTTAGGTATATATTTATATGTCCCAATATGAGATGCAGACGGACTCTACGACCTCTGAGCAACCGTTAGGGGCTTGCCGGATATATCTCATCTCGCAATTGCTTACACATGTCATTGTAGAGGCGAAAGCAAGGAACACTCTGTATGTGAATGAGTCCAGTGATGGACATTGGAATCGTTGATGCATTAATGAGCGGACAAAATAGACCTATACTCCGGATTCAATACCCGAATATAGGGGCATTCCAATACTCGGCATATCTCCATAGTTGTTACACAGGCACGACAGACTGGAGGATTGCATATCAGCATGTATATAATCATATGAGCGGGAGATCGCGTTGAGGCTTCCACCCGCGTTTTGCCTGATCAAACATATGACCGAGCCGAGACCTGGATCGAGGTCCGGTCGGCAACTATACGCGAAGTTATTCGGACATATATACTCTGGATCTCCCAGCTGGCTGGAGAGGGGACAAGGCCTTCACGGCTCCCCTTGACGCCCGAGATGGTTATCGCAATTTGGAGATCCTTCCAAGCCCTTGTTGCAATAGTAGAATGTTACTCGGAAACACCATCATTCACTCTAATGGGTTATTGCCTTTTTTAGCCAAGTATGTCGTAGTTTATTCTCAAGCAAGATATCCACGTCATCTAGTCGAAGGATGAATAACCGCACAGGACACATGGTACAGAGGCACCGGTGGCAAGGACTACCTCATGATCGGCTGAATATATGCACCAAACTACAGGAAGACTTCCTCGGAGCACCATATTACCGTGTTCTGGCGGTTATACTGATACAGTAACTGCTATGGACACATGAAGATCCGAGAGGTTTCAAAGCATTCCCAGGGAGGAGTTCTGACGAGAATATGGAGCTCTGGAGGGAGAGGTCCGGAAAGCGTTGGTACTTGAGATTACGGGTTTCCAACAAACCTGATCGTTGGTACAGGATGTGACGGCTACAGTCATTTAGACCAGGTAGTCAACGAGAGCACCGGCCACAACTAGTGATAGCCTAACTATAATGTAGTACTTGCACAACCCTTTGGCAAATATAATTGTTGGCGAGAGAGTGTGTGCCCGGTGAGGAACCCCGGCTTACCTGATAACTGATTTCATGGGCCATCGAGAATACGGCCCGGGAAATGAAATCTCGTGGCTCACATTATGTATGGTGGATATATCGCTTCGAGCCGGGCGTGGGCAGTATCCTGCTTCCGCCATGTACATAGAGCAAGAGAAGGCATACGCTTATCTGTTCCGTAAAATATTGCTGGTCTAACGGCTCATGTATTTCTCACCAAATCATGGGTAATCAAATGAACGACCAACCTGGTCTTCTTGGATGAAGCTGAGTCCCCAGCTTCCCACTTTAACTCTATATGATCTGTTTGTGGCTTTGAAACCGGCGGCCCGATTAACCGGACTTTATTCCAGACTCGATGGTATATTACACCGAACGGGAGGTTCTGGATGGTCCCCTCCCATCCGAGCTCTAGTTCAAAAGCCATGTCTTAGTTCGCTCATGGTAAAAAAAAAATTTAATAATAATCCCAACGAAGTGAAAGTATTGCAAAAGTAAAAGCAATGGTCCCAGTGAGGCTTGAACTCACGACTTTCGCATTACCAACGTTATAATTTAGTTATAATATTAGTACGACACTCTGACCAACTGAGTTATAGGACCGATTGGATGGCGTCGGAGATAATTTGCCCTAAGATGGAGAGAATGGGGCTGTGGGATGGAGGTAAACCGTAGTGCTGTGCTAGTAGGAACGCCGTCCGTGTGTTCGATTACCTTCAAACACTGACAGAGGCTGAGCTGTGGGTCTGTTTGACAGTTACCTAGAAATGATTCATTTCTAAGATAACATATCATTGGATGGGAGCAGCGACTTGCGTGTAGTGCTAGTGAGCTGTAAGATAATCTCTTCGCCCCGAAGAGGTTTGTGAGAGACGTAAGTCTACGACATGTTGCACCCACCGGAGCGGCACTGACTTGCTTTTTAAGGCTAAAACCTTGGATCTGCTGGAACCCCCGGCGGATGATCATCTACTTGTCTCGTGATAACCACAACAATCAATGAAAAAAAAAAAGCAATAGTTGGTCACCGATGGGCTTCGTCCCCTCGGCCTCTGTACCTAACCCAGCTGCTGCTGCTGCTGTTTGTTGAGACATAAAAAAGTTGACGTTCCATCAGCTTGGTTAACCACTACTTGTACCTCCATTAAGTACTACGTAGATGACCCGTATTGGCAAAGTGTTTTAATGACCAATCGTAAAATTTCGAACATTCCGGCAGTGGAGGGAATCTTATTTACTTGTACTGTTAAGCGAGAGAGAGCTAGACCAGGCCGAGCCTTATGGGATTTGATTCAGCTACCGCGCCAAACGCGAGGTACAACTACTGTAAAATCACCGAGTGGTTTAAATTATTGCGTGGGTCATGCTAGACCGGGGCACCTACTGTACAGTACACTACAGGTCTCTAGGCACCTATTTTCCGCCGGGGACTGCCGAGGAACTTTGTCTTGTTGACGTATTGGTCTACTGTACAGGGATGTAAGTATACTACAGCTCTGCTATGTATTGCGTGGACAAAATTAAACCGTTGTAACAAATTTTCCAACGAGAGTGGGCTCTTCGCCTTGGAATTTGCCTTTTTAAGTTTGGCCATCTAGATCCCCACAACTATTGATCTGCCCAGGGTCTCTCCCTGTGTTTGTGGTAGCCTTGTCTGCACTTAATTAATACGAAATAGTTTCAAAGGGATGTTGCCCATCTCGCTTAGCGAAGCGGGCAAAGACTCTTTGGAATGACATTTTTCTTCGTTTGGTACGATCACGATCCATCTTCGGTGTCGAGAGTTTAAGAACCCAAGCCTCCTCGTGTGGGCTAATTAGTCTTTGGGTATGGTCACTCAATACTGTAGCTGGAAGACGACGAACGTGTCATTCTTATCCCATCTTGAGCCGCCTTTCTGTAGTGTAAGGCTACCCTATTCACAGCTGTCTAGAACTGCTAATGGCCCGCAAACTTTCGAATAGGCACACGATAGCTGAAACTTGACATCGAAAGATGTATGCGCCATGGCTGATGTGTGTCACTATAGTGTAGTATGGGACGGTGCGTCCCGATAGAGGTCAAAGCGAACTTAGCTGTGTCATTTGAGCATTACCAGACACTAGTGAGAATCCTGGTGAGTAGGTAAGTAAGAGAATTTACCCTACATCTTTATGCTGGTAGGGATGGTCTAGTACGAGATTATACGAAAGAAACGAGTTAGATAGAATGGAACGATTTAATCTTTCGACACACACTACACCTACCTAAATGATAATCATCTCGTCTATCTGGCATCTAAGCTTGCTAATTAGTAACCTGTTCGGGTGAGCACAATCTAGGACTGTGCTCTCGTTCCGCAGGCCTACCCAGGTAGGAGGTTAACTACAGCACAAGAGCAAGATTTCTAGTGTTGTCATTACCGACCTTAATATCTTACTTATACACGTGTCTTAACATGGAATCGGACGATTGCAGGTTCCCAGCATTCGGGTACGTCTGCACTATTGGACGCCCTCTTGGCTGATCTTCGATGGTGACCTCTTTTCTCGGGACAAGGTAAGCTGACAGCCACGCCGCTTGTTTCAGCTCCTCGGCTCAGCCCTCAGCTTGTCGATACGGCAACACGTGGTCGTGGGACGTGGAGATGTTCCGTTTCTGCATGATTCGGCACAAGGACTGGTTGACGTTTTCGTTCGGTACCAAGCTCAAACGCCTTCTTGAGCTGTCAATGGTCGTAGTATACGTGGGTTAATGCAAGCGTTGCCTGACGTGTCTTTGTGCGGAGTTCTTCTGGGGTGCCCGTTCGCTCGGCTTCTGCGGGTTGTGCTGAAGGGTATCCCGGACGTGAGTGTCTCGGGTGGTTTCATAATCCTATCGGTTTGCTCGGGTTCCCCTGCACGCTGATACTACCTATACGCAAGTAGCTACATAGTAGTATCAACGCTCCGAGACCCGACGCTTGTAAGGTAATAGTAGTGTGCGGAATTAAATCACCGATGTAGCTGGGTACTATAATACTACAATGACTCTGGAGTACTGGTAGCCCCTCATTAATAGCGTAGCATTCATCACTATGATGGGTATATTAATCGTAGTGGCCACCTGATGCCCAGCGAGGCCCGGTCCCGAGCATCGAAAAGTTGACTCTAATGAATCGCAATCGGGTGTGGTCGGGACTCAAATCGGAAAGAATCGTGCTGTTGTGAATCCCTCCGTCGGGTCGCAGGAGAAGATCAATTGTCGTCGGCCCTATGCTCGTCGAGAATACATAGTAGGTACTGTAGTCTAAGGCAATTAGTGCAGCATAGCGTCGTATAGTAGGCTGCCGTTGGTGAGTCAAAAGCGTCATGCGTGTCGTCCCAGAGGCTTGGGTAACCCCGGCACATTGACGACCCACCTAACAAATTCCCGAATGTCATGTGGTCATACGCGACTAAAACAGCGCCTTGTTTGCCCACTGGAGGGAGTGAGTGTGGCCTTATGTCAGTGATAAGCAAACATACCTAAGTTCACTACCGGGCTGTAAAGTATACCCATATATGGACTTTTGCTAACATTTTCTTTTTCACTTGTCGGCGGTGATTCTCAGCCTCTTCAGCCTTCAGCCTCAGCACTGGACATCTTATAGAGTATCATAGTACTTTGTGTGATGATGTACAGTACACCATGACTGCAGCAGTAGTATGGATGAGCCTGTCTGCAACCTGGACTGATCTGCATTATGCATGGGGTTTGGGGAAATCCTATTATCTCTTGGCTCGGTTAGAAGCGTCGCTGGCATGTGCGTAGCATAAGAGGGTTCTGGAACACATCTAGAACATAACTCGGCTACTTGCGCTGAGTGGACCTGGGTCGAAGAGCTCTCTTATGCACAATAAGGTACCTACATAGTATACATCATGGGTGAGACCGTGTGTAAGTCCAATCAAACCTCAAGAAGCGGCAGGAACCGCGGAAAACTCTGGAAAGCATTAGCCCGAAATGTCTTGATACCATGGCGGATATTCCCGGGACACTACGGGACTGACAGGCCAGGACCTCGCCAAGTTGGTTGATAGGCTGTAACTGATTCTGTTCTGCTCGGGGGTTACATTTGTGGCTTGCCAGCAAATCATGTGGCGTTGGCTGGGCGGGGCTACTGACTAGGGTCTGGCAGGGAATTGGAAATGACTCCGCGTCTGGTAATCAATTCGTCGTGCGATGTACCGACCTAGTCGTGATCAAGAATCGCACAAAACGCGGTCGTATTGAATTGTAGTATACTAATCCGCGGAATTGCGGAACCCTATGAAAGTCCCGAGATCGCTTCAAGGTTGACTTATCGTGCAGCTCGAAGTACCTAACCTCAGCTTAAAGCTAATGTAAGTTATGCTGAAGAATAACATTAATGAAATTCTCCAATCGCCGTGCTACCTGTGGTGCCTGATCGGGACCTGCATGAATTTATTGATGTCCGGATTAGGGACGCCAGCTGGTCAACGACATCCCTCATTGGCTCGGCTTATAATGTCCTTACCGCTTTCGTTGTAGTACAGTATATGCTTTCTCCATGGAGCTGGGAGATGGCTACTTGCTGTCGAGCAGCGGAACCGTAGCATAGCATCATGCCGTCGAACAATAGCTTCAAATGGCTTGCTTGTTGTGTCGCATTGCATTCGTACCGTTATCTGGTGAACGCCATTCGTGGAGTCGTGCAGACGCCCGTGACGATGACGGAAACCACCGAGAAGACGGCCGTCTTCTAAAACCCCCCGACGCTCATCAAGCAAAATAACAAGACCATCTTGTCACAAATTTTTTATATAAATCATTTCTAAAACATAATACGACCTTTTCGACCCCAGTTCTCACTGTGGCTCTGCGAACACTGAGTCGTAGAGGGAGCTTGTCTCAATCAACCTGCCCCCTTTTTTCTTCTTCCCCTCTCGGATCGTAATACTCGGGGAATTGAACTGCGTTGCAATCGACACGGAACGGCGAGTGTTCGAAACATTACAACGTTATATTGGTCTCGTCATCTCTCAAGCTACGCCTATGGTCTCACTACTCGGGAACATCAGAGAGCGACAGAGTGTGAAAAGAGAAGCAAACTGAAACAAGTCCCCAGCAACACCGACACCGATATTTGCAACCCAAGCAAGGCCCTTCCTGGTCCAGTCCTTCCAAGACTACCTAAGGTAGGCACTAAAAAGACACTAATAATTAGCGGACTAGGACGGTCAGACAGCTGGTTTTTTGCACTGGCTTTGAGTTGATCGATTACCTAGGTAAATACTCTACACCAAATGTTAATTTAATCCGTTAATAAAGTCCTAATGAGTGAGAATTTTGCTAGGTAGAAAACAAACAAACCCCAAACCATTACAGTTTATAAGCGAGACACAAGTTTTTGAGGTCTTGGCCGTCGAGTTTAGCAGAGCAGTCAGCCCTGGAGTTACTTAGTACAGTACCCTGGGGCTCTATCATAAGCGCTGACAATCCTTGCTGCCCCCTACCTCCGACGTGTGCATACCACCTCGTCACCCAATTACGGCGCTTCCGTCGCTCCCGTCGACGCAACGCCATTGGCTCAATCCGATCGAGTCGTCACCAACTCGGTCGGGTTGGTCTGTTCCTGGCGC